TTTTTCCAGAAAAGTTTCTTCTATACTTGAGCTGTGTGGAAAAAAAGCTTTCAATTGAATCTGGGAACTTGGTTTCCTAAAGTCCTGCTTTTTAAAAGATACCATATCACTAAACGTAAATGGAACTCGCGTACACGTCGTTCATAATTCTCAAATTTGCAAGTCACTTTTTAGATTTGTTCAAGCAATTACGATCTTCTATAAAATCCCATTAAAATTAAGTGAAAAAAAACAATGGGCAGAAGTCGATGAAATTGACTCAGCTCTCAATAGTAAAATTATGCGATATTCAGTCCTCGGTGGTGTTAAACGAATCTTTAAATAATCGGAAATCATACCGTTGTCATATAGTTAGTCGCTACTGTTGTATCAAGTTTGATTGTGCAAATAATTACTCCATATTCGTGCATAAATTCATATACAAATATTAAATATACATGTGTAAAACTAAGCATGCATTTACAGCAAAATTAAAATATCTCGTATAAAACAAAAATATACACACATGTCAGATGCGTAAACAAAACAATTTTAAAAAAGACATCGTATAAAAGACCAAAATAATTTTAAAAAGAGTTTCTATTGTACAAAAAGGAATGTGCTCATTCATGATTAGATAAAACGGACAGAATGCATAATGCACTACATATTTGAGGATGAACGCTACCAAATAAAAAATTGCTGAAAAAAATGTCTAAAAGAAGAAAATATCTGCTGTCTTCCTTTTAGGTATTCTTTCGCACTATATTGACAGTTGGACGTTCGTTTCAAAAAAAAAGCTAAATTAAAAATATTGCAATATCAAATTCAACACACAAAGTACGAATGATTCGTATACACAAAAAACAACGAATACAAATACAACGAAGAATAAGATCTATCGAAAAAAATAAAAATGAGGATTGAGAATTCTGAGAACAATAATAAAAAAAACACGTAGAAATGTTGAATGGAAAGCACAAAAAACGAATTTATTTTCTAAATATTATTATGATCACTTACTTTTCTAATAAACACTTGTTCCATATCTGATTTTCTAATGAATGCTTGTTCATTTTCTTGAGATTTTCGTATAAATGCTTGTTCGTCACTTGTCAATTTACGAACAAATGCTTGATCATCATTACCAACATGACGGATGAAAACTTTTTCGTTATTGTACTTTTTCGCTTCTCTTACAAAATAACATTCCAGACCCATGCATACTACTGAAAATAAATGATACATTCTTAGAACCATGATTTTCAGACTGAATTTTCACAAATAAAAACAATGATAAATATTAATTTGTACTATTTAATCTGAAAATGCTTATAATTACCACAGAATAATGCTGTCACTGTTGATGCGACCATTGAAATATAAGACCAAGATAAAGATGTATAATCTGGTCTTGGCATCCATTTTCCGCTAATCGCATCTGCATATTGACCAAAGATAGCAATAGAAATCATATTAAACATACCTAGAATACAAAAAATAAAAATTGTTAATATAAAAAGTATGTTGTCTTCTCATTGTCAGATATTCTACTTACACGTGAAACCACTTAGTACTATACACAAAAGCATAGAATGTCGAGATAAACGATAACGTGTAATAGATACTACAATTAATGCGACAACCGATAACATATTGAAAATAAGACCAAAACAAGCCATTACTTGAACGGCTGTAAACCAAGCTAAAACAATAACAATATTTAATAACCAGCTTTTACACTAGATTAAAGCGATTTCTATAAATATTGCCTATCGATGAATTTGTGTACGTTTTCTCGAAAGATGGGACATTCGTTAATTTGTTGCTCCTACATAATCTTAATCTGTTTCTAATGGTTTTCTGTGCTTTTTATTCTTTTTATCTATCTATTCTTCTATATTTAATCAGACAAACACTTATGAACGACTTATTATGGTAATATTTTCTGAACTAAAAACTACTTTTGTTTCGAAATACGTACGAGGTGTTAGTATTTGATCGCGTCTCAATTGATAATACTCTCTAGCATATAACCACCAACAACCATAGAATATTTTTTCCCAATAATTTACCGGATTACGAAAACCAGAAATACATGCTTGCCATAAACCTAGACTACGAAATGTGGTATCACCAACCTACAACATCAAACGAAATAACTTAAAACACTTCTTACTACAAATACTATTATTTATTTATTTACCCTTGGCCAAATTTGAATCCAATAAGGTGTTGAAAAGGCAAGAAGATCGCATACTAATGAAAATATACCAAATAACAAGGCACTACCCATAAAGAGTTTGGGCGAACGAACAATCATCGTTGATTTAACAATACACTTGTTTAGAAATTTCTAAAAATATCTATAATTATGGTAAAAAACAGAATCATATCGATTTCAAAGTTTTGCGTTGCAATTTTGCTACAATAAGAAAAATCACGCACCATATTCAAAAATATGGCGAAGTATTATCATTAGATATTTTCAATTTTTCAAATTTTCTATACCAAAA